TTTTCAATTTTTAATTTTCAATTTATATTTTCAATTTTTAATTTTTAATTTTTAATTTTTAATTTTTAATTTTAATTTTAAATTATTTTTAATTTTCAATTTTCAATTTTCGATTTTTAATTTTCAATTTTCAATGTTTAATTTTAATTTTTAATGATTTTTAATTTTCAATTTTTATTTTTCAATTTTAATTTTCAATTTTTAATTTTCAATTTTTAATTTTTAATTTTCAATGTTTAATTTTAATTTTTAATGATTTTTAATTTTTAATTTTAAATTTTTAATTTTCAATTTTTAATTTTCTATTTTAATTTTTAATTTTCAATGTTTAATTTAAATTTTTAATGTTTTTTAATTTTTAATTTTTAATTTTCAATTTTTAATTTTCAATTTTTTAATTTTCAATTTTTAATTTTTAATTTTCAATGTTTAATTTTAATTTTTACTGATTTTTAATTTTTAATTTTTAATTATTTTTAATTTTTAATTTTTAGTTTTCAAATTTTCAATTATTTTCAAATTTTCAATTTTTAATTTTCAATTTTAATTTTTAATTTTTTTCCTGAGCAATTCTTTCACTTCTGGGAAGGAGCCAGGATTGTTTTGTGAGTTGTTTCAGCAAAGCAAGGTCTGCCTCCCACCCAGAGAGACAAAACTCCTCCACTTGAGCCGAAAAGCGGGAAAAATCTCATCCGTTCCTACCTGGAAAAATCCTTCCCATCTTCCAGATTAAATCCACAGCAGAGGATGACGGAATTTGTTCGATTATCAGGAAAATCTTCGCTGCGGGATCATCCAGGTGGATCTTTGGGTTCTCCTCCTCCTGGAGCGGCTGCTCCCGCTGCGCTCGCTGCAGGAAGAGTTTCTCGTGATGATGACTCGATGATCTCAAAGGTTTTATTTCGATTTTTAGGGTTTTGAAAGGCTTGGAGGGAAATTTGGGACCCCCCAGAAACGCACGGAGAGCCGAGACTCGTGGAAACGAGCTTTTTAATTAGGTTGTAAATACAAAACGGTTCGAGTGGTGCCGAGCTGGGGAAGAAAAAAAACCCAAAAACCTCGTGGGGAACCTCCCAAAAAAAAAACCAACCCTGGAGCGGCTCCCAGGGGCCTCGAGGCCGGGAAACGGAGGAAAGCAGAGGGATCCTGCTGGGTTCACACCTCAAAGCCTGCCTGGAGCACCACGGGGCGGCTACAGAAAGCTACAGAGGGGTTTGGGGAGCTCCCGGCGGGGTTTGGGAGCTCCTGGCGGGGTTTGGGGAGCTCCTGGCGGGGTTTGGGAGCTTCTGGTGGGGTTTGGGAGGTCCCAGAAGGGTTTGGGAGCTCCCGGCGGGGTTTGGGAGCTGCTGGTGGGGTTTGGGAGCTCCTGGGAGGGTTTGGGAGCTCCTGGGAGGGTTTGGGAGCTCCTGGCGGGGTTTGGGAGCTCCCGGCGGGGTTTGGGAGCTCCTGGCGGGGTTTGGGAGCTCCCAGAAGGGTTTGGGAGCTCCTGGCGGGGTTTGGGAGTTCCTGGTGGGGTTTGGGAGCTCCTGGCGGGGTTTGGGAGCTCCCGGCGGGGTTTGGGAGCTCCCGGCGGGGTTTGGGGAGCTCCCGGCGGGGTTTGGGAGGTCCCAGAAGGGTTTGGGAGCTCCCGGCGGGGTTTGGGAGCTCCTGGCGGGGTTTGGGAGGTCCCAGAAGGGTTTGGGAGCTCCCGGCGGGGTTTGGGAGCTGCTGGAAATGGGAAACTTCAAGTTTTTGTTGGATTGGAATATTTACAGGGATCTGTCACATGCCGGGGTTCGGAGCGGTCTGCGGTGTAACTGGTGTCCCAGTGAGGGTTACTGGTGTCCCAGTGAGGGTTACTGGTGTCCCAGTATGTAACTGGTGTCCCAGTGTGTGTGTAACTGGTGTCCCAGTATGTAACTGGTGTCCCAGTGTGTGTGTAACTGGTGTCCCAGTATGTAACTGGTGTCCCAGTGTGTGTGTAACTGGTGTCCCAGTATGCAACTGGTGTCCCAGTTTGCAGTGTAACTGGTGAGGGTCACTGGTGTCCCAGTTTGCAGTGGTCACTGGTGTCCCAGTGAGGGTCACTGGTGTCCCAGTGTGTGTCTAACTGGTGTCCCAGTATGTAACTGGTGTTCCATTGAGTGTAACTGGTGTCCCAGTTTGCAGTGGTGAGTCCCAGTGAGTGTCTAACTGGTGTCCCAGTTTGCAGTGTAACTGGTGTCCCAGTGAGTAACTGGTGTCCCAGTTTGTCCCAGTGAGTAACTGGTGTCCCAGTCTGTCCCAGTCAGTGGAACTGGTGTCCCAGTTTGTCCCAGTCAGTGGAACTGGTGTCCCAGTCTGTCCCAGTCAGTGGAACTGGTGTCCCAGTCTGTCCCAGTCAGTGGAACTGGTGTCCCAGTCTGTCCCAGTCAGTGGAACTGGTGTCCCAGAAGTGCTGCTGGTGCGAGTGTCGGGGTTCTGCTCACAGGAAGGGCCTGGGCGCTCGGGGAGGGAAAAGATTCAAGGATTCATCCAGGAAAAAATGAGGGAAAAAAATGGATTTGAGGGGAGCTTTGGAGCAGAGTTCCCAAACCACGGGAATTCCTTTAAATCCTCGGAAATGCTGGGGAGAAAAGCCTGGATCCCCACCTGCTCCTTCCCCCCCTGGGGACCCCAAAACGCTGCTGGACACCGGGAGGAGCTGCTGCTGGAACTGGGAGCACTGGGAGCACTGGGAGGAGCACTGGGGGCTGCTCTCCCCTCCTGCTCCCAGTGCTGGGAATGGCCGGGAGTGAGGGGCTGGAGTGGGAGCAGGGCAGAGCCAGGGAGAATCCCTGGATTCCTGCAGGGAGAATCCCTGGATTCCTGCAGGGAGAATCCCTGGATTCCCCCAGAGAGAATCCCTGGATTCCTCCAGAGAGAATCCCTGGATTCCTCCAGAGAGAATCCCTGGATTCCCGCAGAGAGAATCCCTGGATTCCCGCAGAGAGAATCCCTGGATTCCCACAGAGAGAATCCCTGGATTCCTGCAGGGAGAATCCCTGGATTCCTGCAGGGAGAATCCCTGGATTCCCCCAGAGAGAATCCCTGGATTCCTCCAGAGAGAATCCCTGGATTCCTGCAGGGAGAATCCCTGGATTCCTGCAGGGAGAATCCCTGGATTCCCGCAGGGAGAATCCCTGGATTCCTCCAGGGAGAATCCCTGGATTCCTGCAGAGAGAATCCCTGGATTCCCGCAGGGAGAATCCCTGGATTCCTGCAGGGAGAATCCCTGGATTCCCGCAGAGAGAATCCCTGGATTCCCCCAGAGAGAATCCCTGGATTCCTCCAGCCAGGAGATTCCCGCAGGGAGGGAAGGGCTGGAGTAGGGATGGGGCTGTTCCTGGGCCTGGCAGAGGTGATGGGTGAGGATGTGGGATCGCGACCAAACGGTTTCTCTGCAGCCACTGTTCCCGTTTCCCTGCGGAAACCAGCCTGGATTCCATCGGAAACCATTCCCAATTCCCTCAGGAGCCGTTCCTGACTCCCTGCAGGAGCCAAGGCCCCATTCCCTGCCCGGCTCTTGCCCTCAAGTGGCAAAACCCTTCATCCTGAGCTGCTCCTCCTTCCCTTCCTGCCCCGGCTCCTCATCCCCATCCTGCTGTGCCTCCTCCTCCTCCTCTTCATCCCCATCCTGCTGTGCCTCCTCATCCTCATCCCCATCCTGCTGTGCCTCCTCTTCCTCTTCATCCCCATCCTGCTGTGCCTCCTCTTCCTCATCCCCATCCTGCTGTGCCTCCTCATCCTCATCCCCATCCTGCTGTGCCTCCTCTTCCTCTTCATCCCCATCCTGCTGTGCCTCCTCTTCCTCATCCCCATCCTGCTGTGCCTCCTCTTCCTCTTCATCCCCATCCTGCTGTGCCTCCTCCTCCTCATCCCCATCCTGCTGTGCCTCCTCATCCTCATCCCCATCCTGCTGTGCCTCCTCTTCCTCTTCATCCCCATCCTGCTGTGCCTCCTCTTCCTCATCCCCATCCTGCTGTGCCTCCTCCTCATCCTGGGAGCTTCCTCCTCTTCATCCCTATCCCAGGTGCTTCCTCCTCCTCCTCCTCCTCCTCCTCCTCCTCCTCCAATTCCACATTTCTGGGGCCAAAATCAGCGATCCCACCTTTCCTGGGACCAAAATCACCAATTCCACCTTTCCTGGGACCAAAATCACCAATCCCACTTTTCCAGGGCCAAAATCACCGATCCCACATTTCTGGAACCAAAATCACCAGTTCCACCATTCTAGAACCAAAATCACCAATTTTGCCTTTCCAGGACCAAAATCACTGATCCCACCTTTCTGGGGCCAAAATCACCAATCCCACATTTCTGGAACCAGAATCACCGATCCCACCTTTCCGGGACAAAAATCACCGATCCCACATTTCCAGGACAAAAATCACCAATTTTGCCTTTCGGGGACCAAAATCACCAATCCCATCTTTCCTGGAACCAAACTCAGCAATTCCACATTTCCTGGAACCAAACTCACCGATCCCACATTTCTGGAACCAAAATCACTGATCCCACATTTTCCAGGACCAAAATCACCAATAATCCCACATTTCTGGAACCAAAATCATCAATTTCGCCTTTCCGGGACCAAAATCACCAACCCCATCTTTCCTGGAAGCAAACTCAGCAATTCCACATTTCCAGGACCAAAATCACCAATTTTGCCTTTCCTGGGACCAAAATCGCCGATTCCTCCTCCCCATCCCCGTTCCGCCGCCAGCGGCGATTCCTTTGCCCGACGGGAACAGCGGGAATTCCACAGCGCCTCACCCTAAAATCTCCCGCGAGCGCCGGGGACCGCCGGGGCCTCCCGCGTCCGGCAGAGAGAAATAAACCCAATTTCCTTTATATATATATATGAATTCATAGGTATGAATTTATATATATATATATATATATTTATATATATATAAATTAAAGCGAGGAGCGAGCGGGGAGCGCCGCGGGGGGCTATAGCGTGGTCTCACTGCCCATGTCCCGGGGAGCTTTTTCCGTGTCGGTGTCGTCGTAGTCCGATTCCATCTCGATCTTCACCTGGGGCACGGCACAGATGGGATTTCGGGAGTAGTTAAAGGCGGGAGACGACGGGCACGAGATCTTCAGGTGGAGGGTGATACTGGGGGGTGAGCAGGGGAGAGCGGGGTGAGCAGCCAGGGTGGTGGCCCCCACCCCAAACCCGCCCCCGGGGGGTGTTGGTGCCGTGAAGATTTTGTGCTTTTTTTCATCTTTTTCTGTATTTTTTTCCCATCTTTTTCGTATTTTTTATATGTATTTTTCTATATATTTTTATCTGTTTTTCATCTGTTTTTTAATGTATTTTTTATATGTATTTTTCATGTATTTTCTATATATTTTCATCTATTTTCCATCTGTTTTTTCATCTATTTTTATATTTATTTTTTGTATATTTTCTATATATTTTCATCTGTTTTTCATATATTTTTAAATATATTTTTATATGTATTTTTCATGTATTTTCTGTATATTTTACATATTTTCCATCTATTTTTAATGTATTTTAATATGTATTTTTCATATATTTTCTATATATTTTAATCTATTTTCCATCTATTTTTTCATATATTTTTATATTTATTTTTTGTATATTTTCTATATATTTTCATCTGTTTTTCATATATTTTTAATGTATTTTTATATGTATTTTTCATGTATTTTCTGTATATTTTACATATTTTCCATCTATTTTTTAATGTATTTTATATGTATTTTTCATATATTTTCTATATATTTTCCATCTATTTTCCATCTGTTTTTTCATCTATTTTTATATTTATTTTTTGTATATTTTCTATATATTTTCCATCTGTTTTTCATATATTTTTAAATATATTTTTATATGTATTTTTCATGTATTTTCTGTATATTTTACATATTTTCCATCTATTTTTAATGTATTTTTAATATGTATTTTTCATGTATTTTCTGTATATTTTCATCTATTTTCCATCTATTTTTTAATCTATTTTTATATGAATTTTTTGTATATTTTCTATATATTTTTTATATATTTTCTATATATTTTCCATTTTTTTCATCTATTTTTATATTTATTTTTTGTATATTTTCTATATATTTTTAATATATTTTCTATATATTTTCCATCTATTTTTTCATCTATTTTTATATGTATTTTTTAATATATTTTTATATGTATTTTTCATAGATTTTTTGTATATTTTACATATATTTTCTATATATTTTCCATATATTTTTTCATATATTTTTAATATGTATTTTTCATAGATTTTCCGTATATTTTCCGTATATTTTCTGTATATTTTTCATCTATTTTCCATATATTTTCTATATATTTTCCATATATTTTCCATATATTTTCTGTATATTTTCCATCTGTTTTCCGGCAGGATATTCCCAAAATCCCAGGATTCAGGTTCCTGAAAAGTGGCTGTCACTGAAAACAAATTCCACTATTTTCCCGAATATTTTTTTAAATTTATTTTTTCCTATAAATATTTTATATATTAAATATATATAAATAGTTAATATAAAATATATACATATTAAATATTAAATAACTTAAATAAATAAAAATTAAATATTTAATATAAATGGATAAATATTTAATATAATATATATTTATTTATATATATATTTATATATATTTAATATAAAAATTTATAAATTATAAATTTATAAATTATAAAAATTTAATATATTTTTTCCTATAAAAAAGGAAACTGTCCCCTGCTGTCCCACAGCAGGGACAACAAAACCGCCCCAAATCCAGAGGGATGCTGGGAAAATCCGCCCGGATATTTGGGAATTGATGGTGGATCCCAAAGTTTTTCCCCTCCCGGTTACCTGCGATCCATGTCGGAACCGTTCGGGGAGGAGTCAGAACGCAAAGCTCCAGGTGGAGGCCCTCTTTCCTGGGGGGACACGGAGCTGAAAAACTCCCCAGGTGACCCCAAAAAAACCCCCCTGGTCCCCCAATCCCTGCTGCATCCTGGGGCAAAAATCACCGATCCCAAATTTCCTGGGCCAAAAATCACCGATCCCAAATTTCCTGGGGCAAAAATCACCGATCCCAAATTTCCTGGGGCAAAAATCACCAATTCCAAATTTCCTGGGCCAAAAATCACTGATCCCAAATTTCCTGGGCCAAAAATCACTGATCCCAAATTTCCTGGGCCAAAAATCACCGATCCCAAATTTCCTGGGCCAAAAATCACCGATTCCAAATTTCCTGGGGCAAAAATCACTGATCCCAAATTTCCTGAGCCAAAAATCACTGATCCCAAATTTCCTGGGCCAAAAATCACCGATCCCAAATTTCCTGGGCCAAAAATCACCGATCCCAAATTTCCTGGGGCAAAAATCACCGATCCTGAATTTCCTGGGCCAAAAATCACCGATTCCAAATTTCCTGGGGCAAAAATCACCGATTCCAAATTTCCTGGGCCAGAAATCACCGATTCCGAATTTCCTGGGACCAGAATCACTGATCCCATCTTTCCTGGGACCAAAATCATCAATTCCATCTTTCCTGGAGCCAAAATCACCGACCCTACATTTCCTGGAGCCAAAATCTCCGATCCCACCTTTCTGGGTGCCAGGAGAAGCTAAAACTCGCTGGGGCCGTGGAGCAGCCTGGAATGATCCTCCCCCCACCCCCCCAAATTTATTCCCAGGATTTTTGGTGAGGGCGGAGCCGAATCTGCTCTTCCCCAGCCGGAAAACTCCACCACGAGAAGCTTTTGAGGGCTCCAAACCATCCCAAACCCAGATATTTTTCACAAATCCCCATCACCACCAGCTCAGGAGGGAACGACAAAACCCCGGAGAGTCTCGGATTTGGTTTTTCTTTTTTTGAAGGAAATCTTGGCGATCCCCAAGCCTTGGGATGAGCGGAGTTCCCGCGTCTGTGCCCTCCTGGATTGTCCCGGGTGATCCAGGAGGGATCCGGGGGGATCCAGGAGGGATCCGGGGGGATCCAGCGGGGTTAGTGCCGAGCGGAGCCCACGGGAGGGGTTAGGAGGAGGCTCCTGGGCTCGTTACTTACGGCTGAGGCAATGGGGGCCCCCGTTTCGGGGCTGCGCGGGCAGGGGCTCCATGGGGATCTTAATGACTGAGGGAGGTGGGAACTGGGGAAGAAACGGGGAAATTCCTGGTGAAAGCAGCGCCTGGGGGGGCTCTGAGACCGCCTGGAGCTCCCAAAACCTCTGGAGGAGGAGGAGGCTTTGCCTTCCTCTTCCCAAATCCCCGGGCAGGAGTTGCACGGAGGCTTTGAGGGATGGGTGCCTTGCCCCAAACTGGGGAACTCGGCCTCTTCTCCCCAAGGATTTCCTTCCTTTTGCCCTGATTTTCCGGCTTTTGGGACGTTCCCTGGAGCCTCCTGCCAGCCCTTGAGCCCCTCATTCAGTCCTGGAACATCTCCAGGAATCCAAGACCTTCATCCCAAACCCGGAGGTTCCGGTGGGAGTTTTCCCTTCCCAAATCTGGGGTGTCCCCACCGTCCTCAGGAGCCCCCCGGTGACCCCCTGCCCACCTCCTCATCGCTGCTGCTGTCGCCTTTGTTGCCTTTCTTCTTCTTCTTCTTGTCGTCCTCCTTCTTCTTCTCCTTCTCGGGGATGATGTTGTCGATCCAGGCCAGGTCGTGCTGGGAGAAGACGAAATCCAGGAGCCGCCTCACCAGGATCAGGGCCAGGATCTGACAGGGGAGAGGTCCAAGAGCATCGAACCCAAGATCTGGTGACCACCAAGCCAAAAATCCCTTAAATCCCAAGAAAACCCCTTTGGAGCGAGGATGGGATCACCATGATGGGGAAGATGATGGAACCATGCCAAAAACTCCATTAAATCCCAAAAAACCCCTTTGGAGCGAGGATGGGATCACCATGACCATGAAGATGATGGAAGCCGTGGTAGGACCATGCCAAAATTTCCTTAAATCCCCAAAAAAACTCCTTTGGGGCAAGGTTGGAATTTCCGTGATGGGGAAGATGATGGTGGCCATGGTGGACCATGCCAGAAACTCCATTAAATCCCAAAAAAACCCTTTGGAGTGAGGATGGGATCACCATGATGGAGAAGATGATGGTGGCCATGGTGGGACCACACCAGAATATCTGTTAAATCCCAAAAAAACTCCTTTGGGGCAAGGTTGGAATTTCCATGATGGGGAAGATGATGGAAGCCATGGTGGAACCACACCAAAAACTCCATTAAATCCCAAAAAACCCCTCTGGATCGAGGATGGGATCACCATGATGGAGAAGATGATGGTGGCCATGGTGGGACCACACCAGAATATCCATTAAGTCCCAAAAAAACTCCTTTGGGGCAAGGTTCGAATTACCATGACCGTGAAGATGATGGAAGCCATGCTGGAACCACACCAAAAATTCCATTAAATCCCAAAAAACCCGTTGGATCGAGGATGGGATCACCATGACCATGAAGGTGATGGTGGGACCATGCCAAAAACTCCATTAAATCCCAAAAAACCCCTCTGGATCGAGGATGGGATTACCATGACGGGGAAGATGATGGCGGCCACGGTGGATTTGAGGATCCAGAGCACAGCCAGGCAGACGATCTGCACCAGGGTGAAGAGGTGGATGCGGCGCAGCGGGACGTGCCGCAGGAACACGTAGTCGGGCTGGTGCTTGGCCGGCATCAGGAAGAGCTTGCAGCGATCCCAAAACTGCCAGGGGAGGAATCCCTGGGGTTAATCCCCAGCCCAACCCCACAGAAAAACCCTTTTTTAGTCCCCAGAATGGAGGAAGAGTTTGAATTGATCCCAAAACTTTCAGGGGAGGAAGACCTGAATTAATCGTCAACCCAACCCCACAGAAAAACCCTTTTTAAGTCCCCAAAATAGAGGAGGAGATTGAACTGATCCCAAAACTGCCAGGGGAGGAATCCCTGGGGTTAATCCCCAGCCCAACCCCACGGGCTGCCCAGGAAAATCCTCTTTTATTCCCCCCAAATGGGGAATTTTCAGATTTTTGGTGTTTCTTGGAGGGTTTTGGGTATCTGCTGTCCCATGCGTGGAAATTTTGGAATAAAAGTCCTTTTTGAGCCAGTGTGGGACAATCTGTGGCCAGCGAGGAGGAGGAGGAGGAGGACGAGGAGGAAGGGCACTCACCTGGATGCCGTTCAGCGACGCCACGCCCATGTAGAGGAAGACTCCGTAGAGCACCGGCATGGGAATGTACTGGAAACAGGGAAAAACCACGGCCCTGACCATGGAGAAGGCAGCAGCTCCTCCCCAGGGCCAGGGCCCAGCGCTGGAGGTCACAAGGACACAGCTGGATCCAGCTGTTTTGTCCCCGTGTCCCCAGACCTCTGCAGGGACGGGGAACGGGAATGTTTTACCTTCAGAATAGGAGCCAGGAAAACCGAAATCCCCGTCAGCACGAAGACGATGATGCCGGTCACCCTCTGCTCCCTGGAGTGGGGCAGGAGCAGGATCAGCCCCATTGTCCACCCCGAGGAACCGCAGAGTCACGAGTGGGAATGGGATTGATCCACTGGGATCATGGATCCGACCCCAGACACCCCAAAACCCCAGCCTTGGGGCCGGGCCCGTTCCCTGGGCAGTGCTGGAACCCTCTGGGGGAAGAACCTTTCCCAAAATCCCCGCTGAGCCTGCCCTGGCCTGGCTCCAGCCGCTCCCTGGGTCCCGTCCCTGTCACGGAGCTCAGGGTCCGTCCCTCCTCTCCCCCTCCCAAGGAAGCTGGAACTGGGATCAGTCTCCCTCAGCTTCTCCAGCTGAACACCCCAAGTGCCCTCAGCCACTCCTCGAGTGTCCCCTCAGACCCTTCCCCACCCTCCTGTCCCTCCTTTGGACACTCCAATAATTTATTATCTTTTTTTTACACTACGTCACCCAAAACTGGCTGAGTTTTGAGCTGAGGCCGCCCCAGCCCAGAGCAGAGCAGAATCCCTCGCTGTCCCTGGTGTCCCCAGCACGGGGATGTCCCCCCAGCTCCAGGACACTGCTCAGCCCCCACCTGAGCCCCCCCAGGACTCACCTGACCCCCAGGAACTGGGGCTGCTCCCCCGGGGCGCTGGTCTCCGTCTCCATCTTGAGGCTGTCGATGTGGGCGATGGAGATGACGGTGGCGGCCACGTACCAGGGCAGCCCCATGAAGGAGCACACGGCCATCAGGATGCCCACCCAGAAGAGGTCCAGGTGGTACCCGGCTGCCTTCTGCAACACAGCACGGCCGGTTCGGGGGGGGTCCTGCGTTGTGGGGAGCCCCCCCAGGCACCCCCGAGGCCTCTGGCAGGGCCTCGGTGCACCCCGAACGCCCTTGGGGCAGCCGGTGTCGCTGTGATGTCCCCACATGGACATGGGGCACCTGGTGTCACCCCATATCTCCTCGTGTCACCCCTCTGCACAGAACGTCACCCCCCAGGCCATCCAGCACCCCAAACCCACAGCTGGCCGAGGCCAGGGACAATCTGTGGCCAGCCCCCAAACCTGGCTGCTGTGGGGGGATCCTGGGGTGCCCTGGGGGGATCCCGGGGTGCCCTGGGTGCTGTGGGGGGATCCTGGGGTGCCCTGGCTGCTGTGGGGGATCCCCAGGACTCTCACCCTGAGCTTGTGCTCCTTCCTGTTGACGATGACGGCGGTGATCTGCTGGTCCATGAAGATGAGGATGGTGACGAGCAGGGCGGGCAGGGCGCTGGCCAGGTACACCCACCACGGGTTCTTCCCAAAGGGAAACACGAACCAGCCCCGGTCCACGCGGGTGGGCTGGGGAGGACAACGGGGTCAGAACCTCGGGAACGGGGTCGGAACCTCGGGAACGGGGTCGGAACCTCGGGGACGCGGCACGGATTGGGAACACCCAAGGGTTGGTGTTTGGGGACAACCCCAACGCCCCATTCCGGATCCATCCTAAATCCTGCACCCCAAGCCATCCCCAAATCCTCATTGGGATCCTCATTGGGTTCCCCATTGGATTCTCTATTGGGTTCTTCATTGGGATCCTCACTGGGATCTTCATTGGGATCTTCATTGGGATTCTAATTGGGTTCCTCATTGGGATCCCCATTGGGATCCTCATTGGATTCCCTATTGGGTTCTTCATTGGGTTCCCCATTGGGATCTTCATTGGGATCCCTGTTGGGTTCCTCAATGGGTTCCTCATTGGGTTCCTCTTTGGGTTCCCCATTGGGATCCCCATTGGGTTTCCCATTGGGATCTTCATTGGGATCTTCATTGGGTTCCCCTTTGAGATCCTCATTGGGTTCCCCATTGGGTTCTCCATTGGGTTCCTCATTGGGATCTTCATTGGGATCCCCATTGGGTTTCCCATTGGGTTCCTCATTGGAATCACTGGGTTCCTCGTTGGGTTCCCCACTGGGATCCCCATTGGGTTCCCCATTGGGTTCCTCATTGGGTTCCTCACTGGAATCATTGGGTTCCCCATTGGGTTCCCCATTGGGTTCCTCATTGGGTTCCTCATTGGAATCATTGGGATCTTCCTTGGGTTCCCCATTGGGATCTTCCTTGGGATCTTCATTGGGTTCCCCATTGGGTTCCCCATTGGGATCTTCCTTGGGATCTTCTTTGGGATCCCCATTGGGTTCCTCGTTGGGATCCCCATTGGGTTCTCCATGTCACTCCCTGGATGGGGGAGGAGAAATCCTTCCTGAACGGGATTTTATGAATTTTTTTGTTTTTTACCTTGAAATCAGTAGGCACTTGGAGCTTTGGAGTGTTGAGTCCGAAAAGCACATCCAGCCCCACAAACATTAGTATGGACATAAAGATAGAGAAATCGCTAATGAGCTTACGGAGCTGCCGGGAGAGAGGGGGAGAGAGAGAAAAAAGGGAGGGGAAACGGCAAAATAGGGAGGAAAAGTGGCAAAAAAGGGAGGAAAATGATAAAAAAAGAAGGGGAAACAAAAATAGGGAGGAAAAACAACAAAATAGAGAGGGAAACAAAAAATAAATGGAAAAAAAAATAGGGAAAAAAGGAGGAAAAACAATAAAAAGGGGAGGGAAAACAAAATAAAAGGGAGGGGAAATCAGGAAAAGAAGGGGAAACCAGGAAAAGAAGGGGAAACAAAAAAAAGGGAGTAAAATTACAAAAAAGGGAGAAAAAACAAAAAAAGAGAAGAAAAACAACAAAAAAAGAAAGGAAAGAAAGTCAGAAAATTAGAATATTGTTAGAAAAGACCATGAAGATTTTCAGAAGGTGCCTGGAGCTGTGATATTCCCAAAAAAGACCGGATGAGGAGCTGGAAAAAGAGCGTGGGAGAGGAGAGGAGGCCGAACCTTGATGATACTGGGGATGTGGAGTTTGGGGGTGTCCAGTCCGAAACAGGCGTCCACTCCACAGAAGAGCAGGATGGAGAAGACATTGGAAAAATCAGCAATGAAAGCCCTGACCTGGAGGCAAGACAGGGAAACGGGCTTGGAAAGGGCAATTAACGGGGTGGGAAGGGAATTAACGGGGTTGGAAAGGGCAATTAACGGGGTGGGAAGGGAATTAATGGGGTGGGGAAGGGGAATTAGGCCCTGGAATGTGCTGGAAGCTCTCCCTGGATCCTTCTCCTTCTCCAGGGGAACATTCCCAGCTCTCCCTGGATCCTTCCCCTTCTTCAGGGGAACATTCCCAGCTCTCCTGGAGCTCCTCCAGGTCCTGGAATGTGCTGGAAGCTCTCCCTGGATCCTTCCCTTCTCCAGGGGAACATTCCCAGCTCTCCCAGCCCGGCTCCAGAGGGTCTCCAGTTCCTCTGGGCTCTCCCCAGCAGCTCCACATCCTCCAGGTGCGGTCTCACCTGAGCGGGGCCGAGGGGGGCAGAATCCCCCCGGAGCTGGGGGTCAGCCCAGGGCACCTTTGGGGTCACGTCCAGCCCCTCAGCCACCCCAAAATCCCTCTCCCAGCGCTCCTCTCCATCCCTTCATCCCCAGCCTGGATCCATCCCAGGCATGGCCAAACCCCACGAGATCCCCTGGAGCTTGTCCAGGTCCCTCTGGATGTCCCCATCCTTTGGGATTGTCCCTTGGTGTCACCTGCAAACCTCCCGAGGGTGCCCTTGGCCGCTTCGTTTCCATCGTTAATGAGCACATTAATTAACCCTGCCCCAGACGGGGACCCCTGGACACCCCTGGTCACTGATGTCCATCGGGCTCTGGGCTGGTGACCACTTCCCTGTGGATGGGATCATCCCACCCATTCCTCATCCATTAATTATCCACCATTAATTATCCACCCTTCAATCATCCTCCCATTAACCCAACTCCAGTTCAGAGAGGAGGCTGCCATCCAAAGCCTCACAGAATCCCAAAAATCGGGAACTAAAACCTCGGGGAGGATCCCAATTTTGACCAAAACCACCTAAAAACAGGGATTTATTTTCCTGCAGCTCTGTGCCTCCAAAAAACTCCCGGCAGCTCCCGTTTTCCCTCATTTTCGGCAAAGGTCTTGGCAGAGCCTGGTTCTTTCCTTACCTTGGTGGGGAAATAGCGGCTGAATTTGAATTTTTTCAGGGTCAGGGTCATGGAGTAGGTGCCAAAGAAGAGGATGAAGGACATGAGGGCCAGGTCGGGCACGAATTTGCAGGATTTTCCCACTAAGCTGCCGCCGTATTTCAGACATTCCTTCTTACTCAGCTGGGTCCAGTCCAGAGCTGTGAGGTTGATAGCATTGGACTGGCGAGAAACCCCGAAAAAAAAGCAAAATTAGCAAAATCTGAAATCACTGTGGTGTGCAGGGAAAGGGGGAGTTGCAGCCCAAATCGAGCAAAATTGGTGTTTTTCAGGTGCAGCACGGAAAGAAAGGGAAATTTCCTTTCCAAACCCCCAAATTTTCTACTTTGAGGATTGCATTGTGCAAGAAAAGGGGGATTTTACAACTGAATTGAGCAAAATCAGCGTTTTGAGCTGAAATTTCCTGGCCAAACCCCCCAAAAAGAGCAATTTGAGCCATTTCAGCATGCAAAGAAAGGTGAATTTCCAGAGCTGCTGCCACTGGGATACCCAAAACCACAATGCTGATATAAATTTGAGGGGGAAAAGCGTGGATTTGGCGCTGCTGAGCCCCGCTGGGAACCCAAACCAGCCCAAATTTGAGTTCCCCTCACTCCCAGCTGGCCCATCCCACTGAAATCCCTCGGATTCGCCCTCCCCGATCCCGAATTTCCCGCTGGGACGAGCAGATCCCGTTTCTTACCAGAGAAACGTTAGTGGTGTTCGGTGCCACTGGAGCTGAAGCATCGAACAAGGTCGCGTTGGCTGCGGGAAAGGATTCGGTTATTGAGGTTCTGGGGCTAAACCCGACATTTTTGGGCATTCACACCAGCTGAGCCCGGCAGGGATCGGCATCCCGAGATTTTGGGGGGAAATCCCCCTTTTTTAACCCCACAGCGACTTCTCCCTGATTAATCCCGCGGTGCCGGGGAGGATGCGGCGGCTCCCGCGGCCATTTCTCCCTCCAGGGCTGGCCAGTGCCAGAGGGGATTTTTTAGGAGCTTCCCAGTTCCTAAAAATTCCAGGTGCTTCCCAGGGAAGCAGCCTGGGGGTTTTTTTTGTGTTTTTTTTTTTTTTTATTAGTTTTTATCGCGCCCAATTTGCCTTTTTAAAATCACTATTAATTTTTTTTCTAAAAAAAAAAAAATCGTTTTGGGGGTGTTTTGGTGTCATCAGCGCAAAATTCCGTCTTTTTGAGCCCCCGGCGCCTTCTCCTCCTCGGCTCTTCGGGTGACGCGGCTCCGCAGCTCCAGGAGCACCCCCGGCTTCCCTCGGGGTGCCCCTAAAAGAGGGAATTCAGGAATTCCGGGACCGTTTTGCCGCCCCGCTCTTCCATCCTCTTCGCCAAGCGGGAATTTCGGCCGCCGCCTCCGTCCCCGGCGGATTAACGAAGGAGAAGCCGGGTTAGGGCAGAGACCCCGGGGCTGCCGGGAACAAACCCGGCCCTAAAAACATCAACTTTTATTCTCATTTCTCTCCTCCACAACCTTTTCTTTTTCCACAAACCCTATTTTGGGGATTTTTTTACGCCTTTAAAGGGCGGCACAGCACTGGTGGGATTAAAGAGAGGAGCCCTAAGGGCTCCACACAAACCTTTTTAGAGAGAGAGAAAAGTCAAATACATGGGGAAAAAAAAAAAGAACAACAGAACCCCCCCGTTGGGGGGAGAGTATCAAATATTAAAATAGTTTTAATATTTAGAAGGCGATACTCACTTGAGATTGAAATCAGCCCCAATTGATGTGTGCAGCAGAGACAAATATGGGACAAATCAGTTATAATAATCAAAAATCAGCAGGGATGGAAAAAAAACGGGAATTAAAAATAAAAAAAAATAAGGATGGAGGGGGGAATAAACATCATTTCTAGAGGAATTTTAAATCCGGCGTGGACACCGCTGCCTTGGGCAGCCAGGGCGAGGAGCGGGATGGGGAATTGGGGTGCGGATGCCGCTGGGCTGCTCGGGGTTTGCTCGGGATGGGGGCTTGGAGAAGGGGGAGACCTCCCTGGAGGCTGAAGGCTCCTCCTGCCGGAGCTGCCGGGTGGATCCCGGAGGGTGCTCACGGTTCCTTTTGGGAATTCCAGCTCTGGGGAATCCGTCTTGGCTCTGGGTGGGGTTTGGGGGCTCAGCTTGGGGAGAGTTGGGTTGGCTGCAGGTGGTGCTCTGGGTCCCGGTGGGATCGCGGTGCTTACGGCAGGAATTGAGGAAAAAGGCGAAATTAAACCAAATCGCTGCGATTCCCGCCGGGTGAGAGCGCTCCTTGGAATGGCTGATGTGTTGGGAATGCGATGGGTGGAGGGTCTTGGATGCTTTTCTTGAAGGAAGGAGATGGGCAGAACTTCACCATGACCTTCATCCACCTTCACCTTCATCCTCCATCATCTTCATCCACTGTGACCTTCATCCACCTTCACCTTCATCCTCCATCATCTTCATCCACTGTGACCTTCATCCACCTTCACCTTCATCCATCATCATCTTCATCCACCATGAACTTCATCCACCTTCACCTTCATCCATCATCTTCATCCACCGTGAACTTCATCCACCTTCACCTTCATCCCCCATCATCTTCATCCACCATGAACTTCATCCACCTTCACCTTCATCCACCTTCACCTTCATCCATCATCACCTTCATCCACCTTCACCTTCATCCATCACCTTCATCCTCCATCACCTTCATCCACTGTGACCTTCATCCACCTTCACATTCATCCATCATCATCTTCATCCACCTTCATCTTCATCCACCTTCACCTTCATCCATCATTACCTTCATCCACCTTCACCTTCATCCACCTTCACCTTCATCCACTGTCAGTCTCCTCTGGCTGCAGCTGGTGCTCCCCAAAATTTAGTTTTTTTGGCACGAATTCAGCTCCTGGGAGAGCAGGTGGTCACTGCTGTGAGCCCGAAGCCGTCTCCGCTCCCTCCCAGGAGCGTCCGAGCTCCACAATTCGGATCTGGGATCATCCAGGACGTCTCTCCAAGGGCAAAACCATGGAAGGACCATCTGCTCAGAGCCTGATGGCCTCTCCTTTTGGAAAAGGAGCGGAAAAAGAGGAGAAAAACCAGTCCATGGAGGTTTCCACCCCTGGCTGGGACATCCCAGGGTGACCCAGGCACTGGAGAGCACAGAACCACTCCAGGCGTTTCCTGGAGATTCAGTTTCCATCAGCAGCAGGCTGGAACCACCTGAAATGTCCTTTTTTTGTTTTTCTTCCATATTTCTTTCTTATCCATCCAAGTGGGGCCGCTCCAGGCTGAGATCCCGACTCTCCATCCGCCGTGTCCCGGGAAACTCCCAGTCCTTCATCCAAGGAGGGGGACAAGGCTCTTCCTCCATCTCCCAAACCCGCTCCGAGGAGGACGATGAGGACGAGGTCTCTCCACCCCAGGCAGCTGCCTCCTCCCGCATCCTGGGCCAGCGATCCCGTGGGATTCATCCGCGCCAGGACCCTCCCACCCCCGGCTCCTGGATGAACCCACCTGGCCCCGGGATGAACTCACCTGGGTCGGGGGCGACGCACTCGCACTTGTACATGGTGACGTAGTCGGGCTTGAAGTCGGAGTTGATGGGGTAGTACTTGAAGGCCCCGATCATCTTCTTGATGGCGTCGTAGATGAAGATGAAGCTGATGAGGGTGGAGAAGCCCTCCTCGGTGAAGCGCGTGATGTACTTTATAATGAAGCTGGCGTCGGTGGCCACCAGGATAAGGCACTGCAGGGCCGAGTGCAGCCCGATCCACAGGCGGAATTCCATGTAGTCGATGCCGTTGCCTCTGGAGGAGGGGACACGCGGCCCTGTGAGAGCGGCCGGGGGCTGGGGGACACGTCCCAGCCCCGCAGGGACGGGCCCCGCTGTCCCCTGGCGTGGCCCAGCACTCACTTGCTGAAGTCGAAGAGCAGCTTCTCGAAGATGAGGATGGGGCCGGTGCTGCTGAGGATGATGAGGGGCTGGCCGGCGAAGAGGCAGAACATGGAGCCGGCCATGGCCGTGCCCAGGAAGCTCTCCATGACCCCCTGGGGACGGAGCAGAGGCAGAGTTAGGGGTGCCCCACGGATCCCCTGATGGAGATGGGGGTGAGGGACCTCGGGTTGGGACCGTGTCCCATTGCTCCATGGAGGGATCCCAGGGCTGCCAGTCCCACCTGGCCATGAATGCCCACCTCCAGAAGCTTGGCATGGGACAAGTAAAATCCATCCCATCCATCCCAGGTCCCACCCAGGTCCCATCCCGGGTCCCATCCCAGGTCCCATCCCAGATCCCATCCTGGGTCCCATCCCAAGTCCCATCCCAAGTCCCATCCCAGATCCCATCCTGGGTCCCATCCCAGATCCCATCCCACCCCAGGTCCCATCCCAAGTCCCATCCCGGATCCCATCCCAGATCCCATCCCATCCATCCCAGGTCCCATCCCATCCCTGCTCGTCCCCAAGCCGGTGACACGCCAGGCCACACCTGGTAGTTGTCGGTGGCGTCCCCCAGCAGCCCCCCGAAGGTGATGGCGTTGGTGATGCAGCCCAGGTAGATGAAGAGGATGGCGGAGATGGACTGGATATGGAAACCTTCGTAGAAGTCGCTCGGGAACCAGGGCAGCTTCCTCTTGATATCCAGGTAGAGGCCACCACAAAACCTGCGGAGACACCGCCGAGGAGCTGGTGACTTCCACCAAAACAGAACCCTGGAATCCTGGAGTGGTTTGGATTGGGAAGGACCTTAAATCCCATCCCATTCCATCCCACGCCTCCCGCTGTTACAGGCCCTGGACACTCCCAGGGATCCAGGGATCCAGCTCCTCTGGCCAGCTGGGAGATGTACAAATATTGATACATAAATATAATTTGATATATGGACTCATAAATAGATCCGGTGCTGACCAAAACCCGTTCCCACCAGGATTTCACCCCTCCCTGCCCCAGGATGAGCCCGTGGGAGACACTGATGGATCCCAGCACCCTCTGGAGGTTTTTTGGGGGTGGCTCCTTGCTCACCTGCCGGTCCAGGCCAGCTCCTCCCCAATCTCGTGGACTTCGGGCATCTCCCCATCGTCGCTGCCGCCGCCGCCGCCGCCCCCGGCGCCCGCCCCGCCGGCCGCGCCGTTCATCTGCCCCACCTCGTTCAGCGAGAACACCGACTTCCTGCGGGACACCGGCACCGCCTCGGATCCGCTCTGGCACCGCCGGGTCGGCACCGCCGGGTCGGCACCGCCCAGCCCCGGCGCGGGCACCGCGGCCGTGGTGCAGCTCTGAGGCTGAGCCGAGTTTGGGTTTTGGGCTGAATTTGGACAGATCCAGAGCTGACCCAACCCCAGGAGTCGTGGGATGGGTTGGGAGGGACTCAAGGATCATCCAGCTCAACTCCTGCCCTGGGCAGGGTCGCCTCCCACTAAAAGTTGTTCCAGGGGAGTGAAAGCGGCTCTGAGCTGACCTGGGAACAAAACCTGCTGCAAATCCAGCGTTCCTGGGACTTCTGGAGGGGTTATTTCCAGGCATGAAGCCCCCCAGAAATGGGTCCAGCCCCGTGGCCCTCACCCACCTCTTCTCAGCTGAGGGCACTTTCTTGGGGGGCTCAATCCGAATGTTGGGGTCCCACTCGCCGGGCGGGAGGACGATGACCTCGTCCAGGAACTCATCGATGCCGGCGATCAGGTCCTCCCTGTCCCGAGCTTTGTAGGCAACATCGCTGAAGAGCTGGGGGTGGACACAGGGCAGGGTCAGCCTCCGCTCCCAAGTCCTCCCAAGGGGTTCAAATCTCAATTTTTGGGGTGAGAAGGTGGAAATTGATTTTTTTTTTTTTTTTTGCTCGGTTCTGAGCCAGCATGTCCCAAACGAGGGCTGGCGGTGGGGTGGCCGCTACTCACGTCGTCCACCATCAGAGTGGCGATGGCCCTGCCGATCTCGTTGTAGGATTTGGCTTTTCCCGCCGGACCCAGGAGGATGAAGAGGAACCTGGGGAGGGAAAGTTGCCGCGTTTGGCCACCTCGGAGCTCTGGTGCCACCAGACCGCTCGGCCCCCGGGGCACGGCGCCCACCTGGTGGGGACGGGGACCTCCGTCACCCCTCCCAGCATCGTGGCCTGGAGCAGCCTCACGAAGGCCACGAAGGGTTTCTCCAGGAACTCCACCTCTCCCACCAGCACGTTGGAGGCCTCGGCGTCCTTGGGGATCTTCTTGATGAACTTGTTCTTCAGCTGTTGGGGAAGACAAGAGGGAGGGAGGGAGCGGTCGCTGAAATTTGGCTTTTCCCCCCTTTTTTCCCCACCAAAGTTGAAGCCTCTGGGTGGGAAAATCTCAAAGATTTCACCTCTGGTCGTCCCAGGACTCGCAGAGGTGGGGACTGAGGAGCCACACCCGGGAATCAGCCAGGAAAAAATTCACAAAGCCAAATTTCTTCAGCAATGAGGCTAAAACCGAGACTGGCTCTAAACTGCACCCCCAGGGCTCTGCATCCCAACCAGCAACCTTTGGTTTTGCTCTCCTGGGTTCTCCACAAAAGCAAAACTCCCCGTGGAAAACCTGATTCAAAGCCCAGGGATGCCGGATCCAGCACCCAGGAACATTTCTGGAGTTCCTTTGCAGCCCCTGCGTGGCACAGAACCCCCTCCAAGCCCTGCAGGGCGCAGATTTTCACACCTCGTTCCTCCCCAGCCCCACAGAAAAAACGGGAGCAGCAAAACCTCATCCATGGATTTATTCCCCAGGTCTCTTCTCCCCCGCAGCTCTTTTCATTACCAGCCTAAAAGGGTTCAATACCCAGCCGGGCAGGGAGTTATGATAATCTATACGGCAGCGTGAGGGGAGGCATGTGAGCCGGGCAGCCGCCTCTCCCCGTCCTAATCTTTTAAACCCAAATGGAAAAACTCTAAAAAAAAAAAAAAAATAAAAAATAAATCGTAATAATAAAACAACTCCTCCAGCGCGGCTGGAATAAGAGCAGGAGTTACCAGTGGCCACTAAGCTTCGTGTAACACTTAAAAAGTCTCTTTGTAGTGGGTCTAATAGGGCGATTAAACCTAAATGCTTTGCATATTTTGGGATTAACCCTCCGAACCCCATTGCTGGAGGGGATATTTGGGGTTCCTGAGCGGGCACCGGGGTGGATTCGCTTCGGGAGGTGGCCTGGAAAGCTCTGTGGTGTCCCTGTCCCCTGGCTCCCAGCAGGACGTGGATTTCCGTCCGTGAAATCCAGGGAAGTAAAACATTATTTATTGTGTATTGCCCTAAAGTGCTTCACCCCAGGTAAACCCAGCGAGGACATCCTGGGGGAAAAGCGGGTTATCCCATCCCGTTCCCTAAAATCCCAAAGAAAGTTGTTATCCCATCCCATTCCCTAAAATCCCAAAGAAAGTTGTTATCCCATTCCCTAAAATCCCAAAGAAAGTTGTTATCCCATCCCATTCCCTAAAAACCCAAAGCAAGTTCTTACCCCATTCCCTAAAATCCCAAAGAAAGTTGTTATCCCATTCCCTAAAATCCCAAAGGAACTTGTTATCCCATCCCATTCCCTAAAAACCCAAAGCAAGTTATTACCCCATTCCCTAAAATCCCAAAGAAAGTCGTTATCCCATCCCATTCCCTAAAATCCCAAATGAAGTCGTTATCCCATTCCCTAAAATCCCACAGGGACAGTGATTCTGCCTTTTGTTCAGGGTGAAATCAGGAACAGAAACAAAGCAAAGCTCGTACAACGAACCAACAATTCCCAGAAAAAGGGTCTGGGATGGGAAAGGGACAAAACCCCGCTGGATCCATCCCATCCCTCAATCCCGGCTCCCTCCTGAAAGCATTCCCAGAAGGAAAAGCCCCCCGTGGCCTCTCAGCTGGGTTTTGCATCGAGAAACCCCCAGGAGAAACAGATCCCACCCCGAATCCCAGCCCCTCGTGTCCCTGTGTGCCAGCCCAGGAGCTCCGGCGGGATTTACCGCCCTCTCCCAGCCGGTCCTTCGGGATTCCTGCTCTTCCAAACACCTTTCCCGTCCTCCCTGAAGATCCGGAGGGAGTTTCTGCCCCACCCCGGTGGATTTGAGCTGCCCCGGCCTCCTGGCTCGTCCCTAATTCCGTGTCACCTCTGGGGCAGCGTCCCCGCGGCTCCACGGGGATCCATACCGCCGTTAATTCCCCTAATTAGGAATTTGTACGGATATCGACCGCGCCGAGGAGCCAAACAACCCCGGAGCCCAGCAGGAATCGCGTCGGGACGCTCCTCCCAGCGGGATTTCGGGATTTCGGGTACCTGGTCAGTGCTCGGCGTGTCCGAGATGTCGTTCATGCTCCGGCTCTGGGCGTGACCTGGAGGAGGGAACGCAGGGAAGGTGAGGAGAAGCCACCGCTGGAGCCAGGAGCAATCCCGCTGGGGAGAATAAAATATTGTCTGTGGCATTTGGGCCTGAAACGCCGGGAATTAGGGAAAACTCCTTCTCCGAAAGGCTGGAGAGGCTGGCATGGAGCCCCCATCCCTGGAAGGGTCCGGAAACCGTCCGGACGTGGCGCTTGGGTGGTGCTGGTGTTCCCTAACGATCCCAGAACTCCACCGACGGGAGCGTTTCCAGTCTCAGCCACACGGACCAAGCTCCCAGGTTCGGATGGGATTTCCCGCCTGCCCTCTCCCAGCCAAGCGACCTTTTGGGATTCCCTCCCTCTTCCAAGCGCCGCTCCTTCCCTCCCTAAAGATTTCAAGGAATTTTCTTCCTCCACCCTAAGGATCCTGAGCTCCACCAAATTCCGTGGTGGGACCTCGTTTCAACCTCCCGCTCTGGCACCGGGAGTTTGGTTTCCAGGGAATTTGGTTTTCCAGGGAATTTGGTTTCCAGGGAATTTGGTTTTCCAGGGAGTTTGGTTTCCCAGGGAATTTGGTTTCCCAAGGAGTTTGGTTTCCCAGGGAATTTGGTTTCCAGGGAATTTGATTTCCAGGGAGTTTGGTTTCCAGGGAGTTTGGTTTCCCAGGGAGTTTGGTTTCCCAGGGAGTTTGGTTTTCCAAGGAGTTTGGTTTCCCAGGGAATTTGGTTTTCCAAGGAGTTTGGTTTTCCAAGGAGTTTGGTTTCCCAGGGAGTTTGGTTTCCCAGGGAATTTGGTTTCCCAGGGAATTTGGTTTTCCAGGGAATTTGGTTTCCCAGGGAGTTTGGTTTCCCAGGGAGTTTGGTTTCCCAGGGAGTTTGGTTTCCCAGGGAGTTTGGTTTTCCAAGGAATTTGGTTTCCCAGGGAATTTGGTTTTCCAGGGAATTTGGTTTTCCAAGGAGTTTGGTTTTTCAGGGAATTTGGTTTCCCAGGGAATTTGGTTTTCCAGGGAGTTTGGTTTTCCAGGGAGTTTGGTTTTCCAGGGAATTTGGTTTCCAGGGAATTTGGTTTCCCAGGGATGTTCCGGGGCGGTTGGCGTCCCCCACTCACGCAGGCGGCCGTAGCTGGCGCTCTGCCGCATCCGCAGGTCCTCGGTGGAGCGGTGGAAGGCGGCGCCGGCGGCCGGGCCCCGCACGGGGCTGCGGGCTGGGGAGAGAGAGGGGCCGTGAGACCTGGAGCGGGATCCCAGTGGGAATGTCGGGGCAGGATCCCATT